TTAAAAATGATTCATAGAAATCAAACGGAAGTTTTTGAATATCGAATCATTTAAATATCATACTTTACTCTATTGTAACAATAAATTCGTGATTCATTTGTATTATCGTAGTTCGTCAATGACATTTATATTGAATATTGGTTTTAATAGTTTCCAAATATCGATCATACATACAATCTGCCAAGATTTGAAAGAAAAATATTATCTGTTAATAAAAAAATGGAGTTCTCAAGTTTAAAATTCCTGTTGTAAGAATTCTAATTTATCAGAGATCATGCAGTCATTATGAAATATTGTGACAAAATCAGCAAAATTAATAGTTTATTCTTGCGATTTATATTTTATTGTTAATGTTCATTTGAGAAACTTCCTGCCGTGTCGAATTTCTGCAAATTTTTTTGATAAGATCAATATTTTTCAACGAATTTATATTTGGAATCATTTATTAGTTTTTGTTCTTTGTTTAAAATGAATGCTATATGGACTGCAGAGGATGATAGCAAATAATGTTTTTTTATCACATGAAATTAAGCTTTACGGCTGTAAATACGTGGAGAGAAAGTTTCAATAATATTAACGTGTGTTTTTGACATAAGTCTTGCTACTTATTTCGCTTTTCATTTCAAAAGTATTTGGAAACGTTGCTGGATCAAAAATCTTATAGCTTAGTTTGAATCTAAATAACCTCAAAAGATTCTTGAAGGACAAAAAAACTTAATTTTAAGAGTCGATTTAAAAGTAAACAATTTGCAACATTTACATACAATAAATCTCATCTATTCACAGAAACTAAACACCAAATGGATTAAGTAAATGATTCGAATAAAGATTCGCTTATGGAAACCTCATCCTTCTCTGTAAAGTTGGATTTTTGCATTTATCACCTCTCAGACATTAATAACATCTTTTCCAGTGCGTGCACGCTTCTTAACCGGTCTTTGCTCATCATTTTGTATCTGTCGCTCGTTCTCAGCCTCTTCACCCAGTTCTTCCACTCGCTGTCGTAATTTTTCGGCATCTATACGGAAATCTCGAACACCAATTGAATTGTTTCTAACTTGTATGTCTAATCGATCATCGTGCAGAGCTGAGCATAGCAGTAGAAGATTGGCCTTAAAGAGATGGATTAGAGGAATAAATTAGTTCTTCCTGTTTCTAACAATCCGCTGTTATAACTCGTCTCTCAGATTACCTTCTGCTACAATGTTTGTACTTTGAATAAAAATTCTAATCAAAACTAATCCAGCAGTACACGGTGATTAGCCCACACTGCCAAATCTGTATCACTATTAACAATTACCGCAATGAATAAAGTTACGCTGCGAAAATAATCTTTTCAGTATTTTACCAGTATATATATTAAATTTTAATATATCAAAGATATTCAAGTGTTTCATGCAACACTTGCTATAAGAAAAACAATAGAAATATTAGATTAATGAACCTGATAAAGCTCTCTTGATCGTACATAGGTAACATAAAGCGTTTCGTCCTTCTGAGACTTCAATACCTTTCGATTATGAGTAAGAGATGGTTCCTTCAATAAATATGCAAATGTGCAAATCTACTCCGATTAAAACTATATTATTTACACTATACAGTAAAGATGGAAAGCGAAACTATAATAACGAATGACATACGTCAAGTGGATTCAGTGTCCCCACATTTTCATCGGCGTTCTCCATAATTCGGAGGATACTGCCATGAGCAAGGGTTGCTAATTTCGTTACAGCCATCCACTCCGAAATATCATTATATTTATGTGTTTTTAGCATCTATAACCTTCTTTATTTGTTTAATATTAACTTTTCATTATTAGAACACACTGAACAGTTATTTCAAAACTCCTTACTATAACATTTTAAAATGATAGATTTAAACTGTCAACATTTGAAAAAAATCGAAACGAACCAATTTAACAATTACATTGAGTGCCTCGTATTGTGCAGTTAACAATGCACAGATCGATTCTTTAGCCACTGCATAATCAATGTGTACTGAGAGCAATAAAAGAACAACATCCGCTAATCTGCTGCATAAGTCGATCACTTTGACGAGACCAAGATCCACTAAAAGGAAATTTCATCATGTAAAAATATATCGTGAAATATTTTATATGAAACGTATTGAATGTATTTGAAATGAAAATTGCTGACTTGAAGATATGAAAATCTGAGACATCATTTCGGTTGTCAAACGTGCATCTGATAGAGAAGCTGAGCAGGCTTCAGCAACCATTTCTGCACTTGTTTCCACTGTTATATCATTTATGGATGCCAACAAATGAGCCGTTTCCTGATCAAAACATGTGAAATATTTTCAGTAAAAAACATGAAATATGATTGTGACGAAAATTGCAATTTATTAAAAATTCGGTGCTCACTTCTTCCTTATCGCTCAGGACAGTTATTATTTGAGTGGCGACAGCGCGCAAAAAATTCGTGTAATGAGAGTCACACGTACCAGCTCGTTCCATATACATATAAAGATGCCAAACCTCTTTCAATACAGTTTTATCAGCTGAAGTGAAGTACTACAAGAATTTTCAAAATATTTAACTGCCATTTAGTTTCCAAAACCTAACATATAAATTAAGGAAAACGACTTGATAGTATTAAGCTGCCTTTAGAATGCTCATGTTTCCAACACATAATCAACAAAAAAGTGATAACAGAAAAAGATTCCGTTAAAAGTTTGAGCTATAGTCTGCTAATTATTAGTGAATTCAAAAAATGGATGCTGTTTACCAAAATATAATACATACTGAGTAAAATCTCATAAAGACCTTACCTATTTCATTTTTTTGCAATACATTGCGAGAAAGTTTTGCACACTTCAATTGCGCCTTTTGATTTGATACCTGCTTGAACAATGCACGACAGGCAGCAATTAGGGCAAATGCTTGATGAGTAAAATCTGATATCACTTTCCGTTCCTCGAAATCTTTATAAGTCTCAAGCAGTTTCGGTATTAGACGTGATAAGATGAATTGAATCAAAAAAAATGCAGCATTTTCATACTTTCTTTGACCTCCATTCGATTGGTCTAAGATATGACCTGAACAAATTGTAGAAAAAATTGATCAAATTGACAATGAACAAATTGTAAAAAAAATCGACAGAAATTGACAATGTCAGTAATATTACAACTACTGTTTCACTGGGAAATTATTAATTTATTATAATTCTTGCGTGCTGATTTTGGTTTTCTAAGACTGACAATCATTCCAGTTTGTCAGAAAAATCAGAAAAAAACTTTTCAATGATCTGGAATTTCAGTCATAGTATTTTAAAAAAATTAAACCTGACACAATTAAGTGCTTTCGCCACTGAGAATAAAATCATAGTTCTTCAACAAATAAAAATCAACACTATTCGATTTTTCATAATTATGAAAATGATAGTGTTGCGAAATTTATCAAATCTCTATTACTTACACATTTCCATAAGCAAACCATCACAACGAAAACCGTATTTTGAGATCATCAAAGAAATTACGTTGGAGAAAGCTACAGCAGCTTGCGTACATTTGTGATCCCACAACTCAAACGAAGCTGATTCATGAACAAAACTACCACCTATGTATAGAAGAAGCATGGTCCTGTAAACATCGCAATATGAACCAATGAACTTTTTTATAGCAGACTCTTTTAAAAACAATTACTTCAAAAAAAGAAAGTTGTTGACAAACAAACCTTGAAAAAGAGGAAAGTGCTGTAAATGGTGCGCGAGTATTACACTTATATATATCAATGGAAATCCGCTGTGCCCAATCCATCGCCCATACAAATGCATTTTCACGAAGAAGTTGCAAGCACTCTTCGTCTATATCGATACTTTCTTCATCAACTTTCCTAAATATATTTATTCGGGAAATGGGTATCTTTCTCATTCATCTATTTCTACAACTGCCAAAATTTGTCCAGCACATCTTTCCTTAAATTGACAAAACTATCTTCTGTATCAAGAAGGAAATAAGCAAATTCAATTGTTCAATTATGTGATGGCGGGGGAAGAATGTCATCAGCATCACATGGCGCAGCAGAATCAGTCGGAATTACCGTGTAATGTTCAAATTGCTGGTCTTGAAAATTTACTAAAACCACCTATCAAAAAGCTCGGCAAATCTTGTTACAATAGTAGATGACAATTCATAAATTCTTACAACCACTTTAAAAAAAGCTTAGGGTACTAGCTGTTAATCGTTCTATCTAATCCCCAGTTGATTAAGCTGTTCGTGATTAATGTGATTAATGAAAGTATGCCAATATGCATTTGGCATCTTAATGTACTCCAATACCATACTACCAAATATTGCCATTTTCCTCTTGATGAGCTACCAAGTTTAGATTTTGTGAAGGATAGAACTGAAAATATCATAATCTCTCAACAACTATGAAAAATAAAGAATTGCAGCTAACTGAATGAATCGTGAAACTATGCTTGTTATGGACTGCAGGTAAGGCATGGTAGATGAATAAGCTATGGTGATTTTCTCTCCCTTGCTCTCTTTCTTTTTCGCTGATTTTTCCTTCAAAATTTCGTTCAATTCCTCATGTCTACGCAATAACGCCAGCACTTTTTCCGTCGCTTCTCTCCTATAAAAGATAAATGCAGTCATTTGTATTCTACTATACATAATTATAATATTCGTACCTGGTAAGCACACAGCCTACATTCCATAAGTGTTCGATAAGCGCGTCGTAAAGAGATATCATCAATGATGCGAAACTCAGGTTTGTACGACCAGCAACAGAAAATGAAAAATCCGAAAGCTTATCCAGCTATAAAAAACGTTATTTACTTTTCAGAAGATCAAGAAAGGATCACTGAAAACGAAAGGATCCATTCCATTGATTTTTGTTAAAAATAATGAAAAATATTAACAAAAATATGTTTCGGGGTGAAAAATCACGACATAACAAAGTCAACCTGCAGGTCATGCACATCTCGATCTATAGCAAATTCAGCAAGCTTATCCAATTCGGACATGGCCTGACATACTTTTGCGTCTTCGCCACATACAACTTGAGTCGACGTGTTTCGTAAACTGTATATTGACAAACGCATCAGTAAGCTTACAGCCTATAATTATGTGGAATGAATTATAGCAAAACAGTCGTGTATGAGTAAAGGACTATTACATATAGCTCTGAACACATATAATAACCTGGACTAAATCAGACAAAGGTTCAAGTAGAATAGTAGAAGATTTCAAAGATTCAATGTAGGTACAGCGAGATATTTGTTGCAGAGTTCTAAGATGTGTTACTAAAAGATCCAAAGTCGGAGTCACCAAATTCTGATTGGCAGATGCTGCTTCAACAATACCCCTGGAAATATCAACATGCCTTCAGAAAAGATAAAAAAAGCTTCTAATACTTCATGTTCACTTCACTTTACACTACTAGTAGAATCCCATGGACAATGTAGGAATGCACATTAGACTTAGCTAGATATGGAACGTCTAAAAGAAGCTAGAGAGAGCATAAGTTTACAGTGTGTGTTTCTGAATATATACATATATATTGCTCAGGTTTGCGCTAATAACTCAAAAACACGCCTGTACAACATGCTTTTAACACTTGCGGGCTGAGAAAAAGTTCGCTTCAAGATTCCAATGATCTCCAGCGAAAGCTCTGCATTCGTATTTTTCGTTTCAACACCCATGTTTTGTAAAGCCTGAAATAAAATTTTCAACACAAGTTTAAGAAGACTGCAACTTATATTATCCTAGAATTTACCTGAGTGGAAAAAGTAGCGAAAGACTGGCTGTAATAATCACTTTTTACAGCCGAACGCATTGTCGATGACCGCAGAAGGAGAAGTAATATTGGTAAAACTGTAGCAACTGTTGAATCACATAGTACATATTTTTTCATCCGGTTAAGTATAATGGCAATTAACTGTGGACGTAATATAATAACTGGCAGTAAAGCGCGAACTAGTGAAACAGCAATATTCTAAAAATAGAGTAAAAAAGAAAGATTTGCTAGTATCTTTACTGATCTTAAATCTTTAGAAATTGCTAAGTCAAACTAATTTTTAAAATCAAATCAATGTCTTCTCTAAAAGAAATTTAAAAAAGCATTAAAAGCAGAAAAATTGCAGAAATAATTACGTCTTTTAGGTCGCATATACTGTCCATCCAGGATCGCAGTGATTTCCAGGCATTCAATACATGTATTGTTTGTTTCGATACAATATCAACAATCGCATCTGGAATTACATTAACAACTGCAAATAATAGTAATGCTTGAGCATAAAATAGTACATGCGATTTCACAACAACTGCTTTTGTCCAAGTCCATTAGTGGTGCTAATAATGAATATAAATTACTCAAACAAAGAGATAATTATTTTATAAAAATTATAAAAACATTAAGGTACCAATCAGAACGAGTGCACAGTTCTGCTTAACGCACGTGAACAATATTGTAAGGATTCTTTCTAACAGCTGACCGACGGATGTGGCATTTACTCTGGCTAGTGAGACCAGCATTGACTTGCCCAGTGACACAGCACCAGTACCGTCCGCAATTCTAAAGCGCATACAACTCTGGCAAATGAAAGTATACAATGGTAGAATATATTGAAACTAACAATCATTTTGTATGTCTCTACCTTTTGAAAAAGTTGCTTAGTTAAAACATTCTGCTCAGATAAATAAATGTTTAATTGAAAATATAAATTTTCAAAAATACTGCATAAAAAGAGATTTTTAGCATAAGAGAATAAAACAACATGAGTTATCATTTTTCTTTTAAAAAATTTATCATCCTTCTTTTTGTTCAATAAATGATTGTTCCGTTTCAACTCTCGTAGGCAGGTGAATTTGGTTCGAGAAATATAGTGTTATCACTAATCATATGCTTTAACAGCATTCGGAGCAAAAATACTCTGCTCAAACGCTTTCACCCACATCTCTATTTGAAATACTTCCGCTTCATATTTCAATAGAAAAAAATCTGCGAAAAAGCAAGCAAAACTTTGATACCAGCTAAACGAAAAAAGCAGCGCGTAAAAGGCAAAGATGGGCTCTTAAAATTGCACCAACACGATTGAAAAAAATGAACTTATACCTTTATATCTATTAAAATATTGTTTACCTGCCATCCGAGATTTTAATTTCAGCATTGCATTTATCTAGTAGCAGCATTAGCGCAACTTGCTCAAGTGCACTGCCAATAACAGAACACCACTTGGTATCATTAACTGCCACTTCAACAACTGCATCTAAATTGCATTTCAAAGTTTCCACGTCACAGTCACCCATAACATCACGAATCCAAGCACTTCTTTTCAACCGGTCACAATGTTTCTGTAGTTTCATGACGTTCTGTTTCAGCTCTGCCATACTCACCGAATGATATCGTGTTGTATTACACAGCAGGAGTAGGCATATCAGCGCAAATCTACTGCATGACACAAGCTGCCGATGACGCTAAAATATTGAATTTATTCCTGTAAGTGAAAGAAGCTATTTATGAATTATTCATTATTATTCATGCATTGTTAGTAATTAAGGTACGGGAAAGCCCAGATTATAAAAAACATTGGTATGAAAAAAGGTTTCAAAAATATTTGACCTTTAGTCGAGCAAGGAATAATTTTGCAATAATAACGCTAGATTTGAACAGTTCATGAAGTTCAACTGACAAAATGTACAAATCTTCGAATGAAAAATCCGCTTTCACCAGCAAATGATCGCATACCTTAATTATTCAAAAAAACTCCGTATATAAAGTTGTATTGGTTTCAACATTATTAGTTTTTATCGCTATTAAAATCACTCAAATCAACTCTTCTTCATTTTCAAATGAAATCAGAACGGGAAAAAACACAGTGCAAAAAATTACCTGTTCTCCTTTCCAATTAATTACCTCGGGAAGCACGACAATCAATTTTAAACAGATTTCTGGTGTCGCCTCGGTACACAATATTTTTTCCACAAATAAACTAAGGATCTCATGCAGGGAACATTTTCTACAACACCACGTATGCAGCAATATGCAGAATCAACACTGTTAATGAAGAAAAACTAAGTTCATGAAGTAATTTTACCTCAGCACAAAGACGAGCTCTTTCAAAGAACTGCAGCTTACAACATCACTTAGTAGTTTCAATAAAAAGGCGATACGATATTTCATACAATCAACAGTATTCTCCTCCCATTCAACGAACTTATCTTTTGACTTTACCACACACTGAATGAATATGGTTGCAGCGCTCAACCAGCTAAAACATCAAAATTCCATTCAAAAATTTAATTTGGAGTTTTCATGGGTTTTTCTCATTTCGTAGCTCTGATATTATATTGCATTCAAAGTTACAAGATGTGTGGAACAGAAACCTTTTTTTCAGTATGAATCCGCTCATAAAATTCTCCGCAATATATGTACCAAAAATTTTTGTATCATTTCCATTCATTTTATATATCTGAAAAAACAGTGGTATTGATATGTATCTGCATTAACCTTCTGCGTTTTAATAAATATCATTTGAAGCCTCGAGATTTCATTCACTGTATTGATTAATTACAAGTTGTAATCTCTGAGATATTTCAAAATAAGGTAAGCTAATAAAATCGGATATCATAATTGGATGGCACAAAATCTTTAAAAATCATGTAAAAGCTTCCTAATCAAAAACAATTTTATGTTTCATACTGTATTCAGCAATAAAGCTTCATCCCTTACGATTAAATAATATAAAGTATTATTTGATTTGGAGACCTACAGAATGAGATTCGTGAATGTTATATTCCACTATTTATCCAAGTGGATATTTCTCTTCCATTATTTGGTAATATATAAAAAGTATGACCTGCTCTTCAAGCACACCATGTAGAATTATAATGGGTTCATATCCAAGACTATCAATTTTCATTATTTCCATAACCAGCAATAACATCGGTAAAACATGATCCGTTTTGACGTTTACATGACCTATGGCAGTGTACCAACTTTTGACGAAATTCGAAAACAGTTCTCCTCCATCTTTTTCGCACTGATGTTTTACAAAGTTCGTAAAATTCTGCTGAAAAAGAAATTTTTTTATAATCCATTTAAGGAAAATCTTCAACATCTTTCATTTTTTCTCACTCCTTTTATCACCTCTCATCATAATCATGCCCAAACCTATCACAGCTAATATTTCATAATTACCATTAGCCATAAGTACTGTTAAAAAAAAATCACCTACCCAACGACGCTCCTCCGATAACTGTGACAGAATCTTAGTTATCTGTTGCACATATTTTTCATTACTTTGAGGACATTCACTGGTAACATATTTGTCAACCTGAGCACAGAATTGTGTGCAAAAACTTTCATGAGTTCGAATACATTGGGAACTCTGTGTAGGGCTTCTTATGCCTGTAGTATTCATGACACGAAGTGATCTCTAAAATCAATAAAAGATGAAGATTAAGCAATGTTCTTTCCATTCGTATGAAACGATAGAGATGTAGGGATGATCGCAAATTCGATAATAATAAGAAACTATCAGCTCACATATCAAGCAATTTTACAATTGCTTATCTCAATTGAGTACAAGACAGTTTTTTGTATCGAACAAAGTAATGACCACCTCATTTATAATTTGCAGCTGCGAGGGAAGGATGTAATAGATGACACTGATAGGATTTAATCCGTCCCATTTCACCTGCTCAAACAAATAATGCATTTATGCGTTTTTTACCGATTTCCGCGATTTATATCGATTAAAAGAGTTCAATACATTGAGATGAAAGAATTCCCGTCCTTTATTCACGTAACACTCCACACAATAATAAAACGTCACCTATGGAATACGTGCTTTTCAAAACTTCCCGCAATTTCTCTCTCGAATTTTGGAAGACAGAAATGTAACGAGAATTATACACGGGAAATGACAAATAAAATACTATGTATCAGGATAATAAACAATGATGAGATAGTGTGTCATGTGATTAGACAGAACAATACACATTGTTGATTTTTAGCATTTCGATGCTTTAACCTCGTTGCGGGTTAGCACATTCTTTGAGGCATTGTCTACCGGCATTTCTGGGATTTAGCATTCTACGAGGCGGGTCTTGGGTATTTGAGAATGACAAAGTAAAAGAATCATATGAAATATATGCTTTTTTTCTCTCTCAATGAAATTTTTACCATTGCTTTCATAGTTTTATTTATTCTGATTTGATGTGCTGTTTCTCTCCTCATATTTACAGAGTTGTATGGGTCATCATCAGTTCGATATCATCCCGAAGAGTAAATCACCAGAAATTGAAATTGATATTGTGAACCAAGTTGAAAGAATGAACTTGAACGGCTTACAACGAGTAACACAGGTACACAGGCCATCTCGTTATTAGTTATATTTTTTGATTCACTAGCTCATCTCATTTAGAGGATGAACCAAGATGGTTTCAGAATTATTTCCATTATTTTTGTTTATCCCCTTGCATAAGAAGCTATTTAATTACTGACTAGTTAGAACTCTTGTGATTTCAGAATGAACCTTCTTCTTGAAAAGTATTCGATCATTTTCAGGAGCATCAACAATTATTACAACAAACAAGACATCGTCTTCGTGACCGTATATCATCGCGTATGGGCGAATTACTTCTGTTAGGTCAAACTATGCTCAACGAATACTGTGAGTTATGTACGGTGAGTTCAGAGAAAGTGCTTCTTTCATTTATTGATAAAATTAATAGTGTGCCAACATTCTTGGTTTTTCTCAAGTTTACATAACCTCATAAGTTTTATCTTTAGCCTGCAACTTTTGTTGGCACATGCCATGGATAGACATGAAACAATGTATTTCTTATGTACTATTTTTGTTATCGCACAGTTTTATTTAAAAGACATTCTAAATATTAGTGTTACTGCTAATAATAACTGTTTAGCAGAATTTCATTGTTTGCAGGGTATTTTGATGGAGAATCGTCATGGAGTTCGCTCATGTGTTACTTGCGACATGGTCAATGCAGAATTTGCAAGGGAACAAAACGATGGAGCTATAATTTCAAATAACGGTATTTTTCGCCACTCTTACCCTTTTTGTGAAGCTTTGATCATTACAGAAAGTAGTAAATGCATGGGATATTTCCAGAATTCTGATGTTGGGTTTATCAGTGCAGTAAATCTGTGAGTCGATTTCAGATGGCTCGAATGATTTAAATGGTACTGCGACTGAATACGGTAACAGTCGAAATAGTGAAGTTTCGCAACCACTGACGCAGTTTCTTCCAGCAGATTCTTCCACAAGATCTTCTGTAAGGATTAATTTGGCTAGTAATTTTTAATTCTCGAGAAGATTGACGTTAATGTTAAATGATGTTAAATGGTTATGCCGTATCTGACTTTGCATTGTAAAGAATGGACCATCTTGCTCCATTCATTTTTCTGTTGTAAGTAAATGGCTGTATACTCGTCTCGAAACAATAGTTTTTTTAGCACTCACCAGTTCAAAGAGGAGATTTCTCTGTGCCAGCTCTTAGCAGTCGTCGTTTACATGCAGAAGAAGGCATATTGAGAGTATGCTTTTTTTGCTAAATATTTATGATCATTTGCTTGCTATTTGCAGAAATATTTTACATACAACTTTTTGCACTTTTCAGCATGCTGATTTCCTTGGATCCAAAAGTGTTGAAACAGCATTAGAGGCGGTTGATGATAAACTAAAGTGGTGCGCAGAACAATTGAAAAGCTGCGAAAATGTAGAAGAAGTAATGAAACTATACGAAACTATTGATCGTGGCATTGGAATTCTAAAACATTCCATGGGTACTTGATGTTCCTCTGACTTCATGGTGACGTTGCATAAATTTTTCTCTATGTGGAAGTATGGGGTAGTTACCTGGTTGCAGTTGGAATTCCAGTTAACTATATTTATATGTTTATACTGTTTCCATCGAATTTTTATGCCTTCTCTTAAAATTCTATAGTTGATATATATTTTGCATAAATTTGTAGTTCAGTAAATTGATTGTACTAAAGCATTTTTGTGCATCGTAAATCATTCTTAACAATGTGTTAGACAATCAGTGTAAAAATAATATTTTTCAAGTAGTGGCGGGATAGCAGCGTGGCGCAGTGGAAGCGTGCTGGGCCCATAACCCAGAGGTCGGTGGATCGAAACCACTCGCTGCTAGCTTTGCACTTTTGCTTGCTATATTTCTCAGTTTTGTCTTACACCCAAACGAGCTTTGCAGCATATGTTATTTACTTTGAAATGTCGCAAGAAGCTTTAATAAAATGTTGCATGTTCAAAAGATGCGCAATGAGAAGAGAAACAATGATGCTGAGATATCACACAAATGTTTCTGTTTGGGTTGTTCTGATTAGTTCCGATCTAGGACTTATGTGTCGTCCATTGATGCTATTGCTACTCTGGGTTGCGCTACTCATCGTTTGTGTTTTTGCAGTTTCAAAACATGAACTTTTTTCTTCTATTTTTTCCAGGCGTTGTTTAGCTTCCTAAAAAGAGAGTAAGTTTAACAGTTAATAGTAAAAAGCGATACGCTAGAAAAATAAAAAATAAATAGAGAGAGGATAGCTAAGTAGGTTCAGTCTAATTTTAGAAATCTAGTCATAACATTTGAGAAGATATATTTAGCATTCAATACTTCCGAAAGAAATCTCTGCGAATAGAATGTGATGATTCATTCCCCAATATTGCATTGCTCTAATAGTTCAATCATTCAACATCTGAATTATACATCGTCAACGTTGAAATGGGATAACTGACTTCTAGATATTGTTTCTCGGCTAATTTATACTCGTATTCTCGCTTAGCACGATCTTCCGATAAAACAATGAGGATAATGACCGTTGGTGTAAGGACTAATCCAACAGTTAATGGATATGTCCACCAATAATTTCTCTATAAGTGCCAGAATTTATACATTCATAAAAGTTCCATTAATGAATGATGTTGTTCACCGATAGCAGTAGACAAAAGCGCACTCCTACGATGCACTAGAAGTTGTCTAAAAGGTGTTACATACACGAATGAAGCCCGCAATATCAGTTCTCTTTGGTAAATCGCAATTGATACCCTCGTAACCATCCATGCATTCGCACCGGAAACCGCGCACAAAACTGAGATCTTGTACACAAGTACCCATCATGCAAGTTTGCAAACCTATATTATTATGAACTTAGAAGCAGATCGGACTAACAAACTTTTATATAAGAAAAATAATAGTTACTCTGAACTAAGAAAATATAAAGTGCTTCCTTTAAAAGTTTCAATGATAAAGTATGGCTGATAGCATTAGAATCATTATTGCCCCTAATTTCTTCTGTTGTCCGCATTTTCCAGTAATATGACAACCTAAAGTGTTAACTACCATAACCTATAAGCTTTTCCGATTTATCCCACAACTTCCTCCCCTCATTGGTTCATTCTATCACCTTGCATTATACATGGAGATAATTGTTGTTCGCAAAATGTACCACTGAAACCAAGACGGCAACGACATCTAAAATATCCATAAATTGATTAATTCAGATTGTTTTTCGGCGCAGCAAATTTTTGCGCTTGAATTATGGATGCAGTAAACGAAACTATTTCATTACACATAATTAAATTCGTTTTCCGGATCGACAGCGCATTCTGCTCCATTCTGACATTTGTTTCCATCACATGCATCTGCCTCTTTGTCACAAAATGGAGACAATAGACCATGTGGACAGAGACACCTATTTGAACATAAACAAATATAGCTATTAAGAAAAAAACTTAGCTTTTTATTTGTAGACAGACAAACCTCAAAGTTTAGAAAGTGTGGTGGAGAGTGAAAAATAAAATTACATGAAGTATTGACCTGAATCCACGACGTTTCTCTTCATCAGAACAAAGTTGTAAATTGTTCAGGTCGGATGTTTCGCAGGGATAACAGAGACCGTCATTCTTGCACATACGATTGGCGCATACGCCAAAATCAGTTTTTATGCATTTCACTGCTGAAATTAAGTAGTCTTGTTTTTAATAAGTTTTATTTAATTTAGAATTAGGAGAAAGAAGAAGAAATAAGGATAATGTACACTAAGATTAGTTTCAAATAAATAATGAATTGCATTGTTTTGAATAAATTATGCAAATGTAACAGACATTCTCATTCTAGTAAGGATATCATTCCTAGACATACTATTGTTAGATCCAGTGAAGTCAGGATCTTGATTTATCTCACATAAGCAGGTATATCCTAGAGAATACTTCTCACGCTGTTCGATCGGTACCGAAACACATAAACTACCGGGTGAACAGGCATGATTATGGCACGGCTCCTCGATGTCACACTTTTCTCCGGTCCAACCATCATAACAGCTTCAATTTATTTGTGATGAAGGATAAGATGGAATTTCCTGACATCATTTCAAATACCAACAGAATTTAGCGACGTGTTAAAAATGATGCAAACTTGAACAGATGCAGTGAAAAAAAGATTGAAATCATACTCGCATACATAATTGTGCATCGTTTTGCCAACACAAGTACCATGTTCGCCACATTTTTCTTCTGCAAAATATCCGTGTAACACTACAAAAAGCTTCTTTTAGTCGTTTAGCTTACCAGGCGTACGTGGATCATACGTGGTTGCATCACATGGCGAGTTTACATGTCTTTCACATAGAATCCCTTCATCTAAGCCAACACATTGACAGACAGGAATTATGTAAGATGTTACATTATCATCACCTAAAATAGATTTTAACAACTGCAAAATTACTGATTTACTCGTCAAGATGAAAATGAAAGAAAGTATGGAACAGGTGAAAAATATTAACCGCCAATATCGGTTACCTACTACAAGTAACAATAAAAAGAAAAGTAGGGTATATACTCTCGACTAACTCCAAGTCTAATAAAAGACTTGGAGTTAGTCGAGAGTATATTCTTTTCAAATCACTCTCTATAAATGTATTACTAAGATGTCCTTCTACATCGCATAAACCTCCATTGAGACAAAATCGTGCTGCGGATTCGCATGGTTTACCGCAAGCTTTAAGAACCTGAAAAATATGCTAATAGAGCAATATTTGTCACCTGTCATAACTGAACATAGTAATATGTGGCATACATGTAGTATCATCCCTACCATACTTCATTCATATATTGCAATGTTGCATTCTGAGTATACTCGTCCAAGCAATCAGATGCATAATTCTTCGCATTCTTTCGACATGGAAAACATTCGTCATAAATCCGCTCATTATCAACAACTGTCAATCGTTCACATTGTTCACCTGAAAAGTACATTTAACATCATGTCATCTCATCAGATGTACCTGAAAGAAGTATTAACGCAATAGGATTGATGTATTTGTAAATGAATGGTAAAAATGAGAATGCCTGTTTTGGTACCTTCAAAATTAGCAGCTACTCCGTAAACATTACGTGGTGGACAATTGCATCTGGCCTTATAGGTCAATTCTTCATTAGTACTATTCAGTATTAATTCGTTCACACAAATACCACCATTAAAACAAGTGTAATCTCGACATGGTAATACAATTTCACACTACAATCAAATAATATTTGTTTGTAATTAAATATTCATTCCAAATTGACAGATGAAAGGTCACTATCGTATCAGAAATAATTCATTAAATAGAAAAATTTATAATTCAATTCAAACTACCAATTTGTGATTGTTAAGGAATCTCATTAGTGAAAGATTTCAATAAGCAATTATGGAGAATTATTTAATGGGGAGAATAGAAGGACGGTTTAATGATAATGCAAAAAAAAAGAAGTGAAAATGTGATGAACTCTTTTTCCAGTATGATGTTCCTGACACTGACAATCACATTCCCTGGTACCGTCTGTCATATTCACAAATTTACCGACTCCTTTATGTAGACAGTAATCTTGCTCACATTCACGCAACTCTTCCGAATATTCGCATAGCGAACCTGTGAAACCTTGTCGACACCAACATCTGAAACAGAAGTTCTTCAGAAGAAAATAAGCACTGAAGGTTAAAGGTTAAAGCTATCCGATTAATTGTTCATATATGAAATAAACATACTCATATTGAACCCATTGCATTACTTTTGTATCGGCAAAATTTTTGATGTTATCGGTAAAATTTTTCATATCATCACTTCCTTCCATAGCAGTCACAATCTGACGCTTTTGCTGAATGCTATAAATGAGATGCATTGTTGTTAACAGTAAGAGAACGATAAAGATGTTGATCATTTTTATCATCTTTCTAATTTGTTCACTGTAGATGAAGAGTGGAGTAAACTGTATCAGATATTTGTTAATTAGGTTTTCCTACAGGTCACTATTACCTGTAGCATGTCGCATCGTTTTGACATAAATTTTTCTCGCAGCTTGTTTGATCAGCCAAAAATTCGCATATTTTTCCATAATGAGTTGGAAGACACTGACAGTAATAGCTAAATTTACATTAACAATGAAGTAAAGGTAATTTTTACTGTTCGCAAAGTTACATCACTGCTCTTCTTATGCATACTTATGGTAAGCTAATTATACAGGTAAAATTGAGAATTACATTGGTTCTGCATAAATAATTTGTAGGCAGTTTTGCATTTCTAAATGCGTGATTTCATTAATAAAATAGTTCCAGTTATGACAGCTAAATTAGATATAGCAGTCTTTAGTCCCGAGTTTAATTTTGGTCCTCTCTATTTTATAGAAATGTGGCAGTTAAAACCTTTGAAACAGGAGCGGAAAAAAGGTCATGTTTAGGAGCAATTTTTCATTGTTAACTGACTATATCAATTTGCTATATTAATTTATTTTAAATCTAATTTCTTGTCATGCTATAATCAAACTTTAGAAATTTCGTATTTCATATCAAAAATTTTTTCTTTCTTATATTACAATCATTTACTATTCAATGTTATTAAGTTTTTTTTATCTTTTTGATCGTAAAATATTCATGAAAAGATTTCACATATACTTTGCTGTTTGAATATATTCAAAAGTTTTAATATTTTGAAAATTGAATATATTCAAAAGATGAAAATCTTTAAAGTTTTAATATTTTGTAAGGAGAAAATAACAAAAAAAAAACAATTTATCACTTTATACTTGAAAATTATTTAAATCATTTAGCAAACGTAATTATTTAATTTATTATGAATGATTCCCAGAACCAATTCTGTGCTTTAACAATGGATTACAGATATTCATGGATGAAAGAAAAGGTAAATGAATGAATTCTTGAAGAAAAAAAAATCTTACGCTCCTTTTTTTGACACGCATGTACCACCATTTTGGCAAAGTTGTGTAATTTTACAAGGATCAAAATTGGTTGCTAAATCACCGGCTTGTTGCCGTCGATGTTTTGCGTCCGGTATATTCGGTATCTTCGGCAAAGTGTGAAATCTTCTCGTCAATGATATGCTAAGGCTCAACTCTACAAATAATATCCACTGCTATACTTATTGTATATGAAAATCATTTACAAATATAATTCAATAATGATTTATGACAAAAAATTTATTTACTTCCTATAGTTGGCTTTCTTCTTCGTTTTGCTTGAAATTCGAAACCAAATATGCTACAAATTACAATGCCTGAATTGTAAAAATTATTTGAGAGTTGATTTATATGAAGATTTTCCATCCATTAAGGCATTGCAATGCATTGATAGCCAAAAAATAAATGGATCGGTACTTACTGGAGATAAGAGATGAGCTCAAGTTAACATGAGATAATAAACTTGTACAATGAATATAAGATTGTTCAATTTTGTAAATATTTATATGGGAAATACAAAATGAGAAAATTTTCAATAAAATAAGATAAACATCGAAAAGAGGAGATTTGAATTACAGAATAGAAGAAGTTGGAATCGACCGGTCGCTGTCATCGTTTATTTTATAATTGAAAAATTCTAAGGTATTTTTGAAAAAACTACAAGTCTACATCTGTAATATTTGCTGTTTCAAATCTTTCATGATTCAATTCTATGCATGCCCAACCTGGCGGCTAAAAATGAAAGAACAAATCGCTGACTCTTAACTTGAAGTGAGGTGGAAAATAGCTCTCGATATTACTTTGGTTATTCAAAATTTTACTTTCACCCGAAATTGTTAATTTTTTTCTTAGTGGCACTATTAGCTTATTGATGATATGTCTTTGTTGACCTCTCTCTTTACTTCTCTCTTCCCGTCATCACATACTGTTCATTTCTATTTACTGAACACTTCTTTATCTCCTGTTTCCATGAAACTGCAACTGTTGCATTTTGGGGCCGACATTCTTTGACGTCATTCGTGATAGTTTGCGCCATATTTAAGTTCCAGTTGATTAGCTAATGGTGTGGGCGGGGGTTGCGCACGTGCGATTAGTTCTAAACAGTGAAGTATTTCAGAGAGAAGACGAGAAGCACTATAAATTTGCATGTCAGTCAATGAAAAGATGCATCCCAGAAATCCATACAAGGATAAACCTCCGGATTTCAGTTTACTCGCTGATAAATTCGTTGAGTTTCGATCTCATTGCTATATTGGCTCAAATGGAAAGGTAAAATATTTCTCTTATTACGATTATTACGATCGCTCTCGCTAACTAGAAGCGTGATTTTTGGATAGTCGTTGCAGATTTCATATTCTGCTATTCTTTTTTATAAAGTAAGTGCATTTCATACATGGACTTTTTCGTTTAACCGCTCCTGTGTATTGCTTCATTTTTTTCACAGGCATTTTGATTCTCGTTGTTATTAACTGAGAAGATTGTTATTTTTAGTTGAAAATGAATTTCCGCGATACAAATGCTGTACGGATTCTAGCTCGAACTTTACTACTCAGTGATTTCGGATTAGATGTTGATATACCTCCTGATTGTCTGGTACCACGTATACCGCAACGCCTTAATTATATTCTTTTCATTGATGATTTGTTAAAAGCAAATGGCATTTCCGAGAATGCTTTCGGCATTGATATTGGTGAGTGTTTTTATCCAGTTCGAAAATGACTGAATGTTCTAAATATAAGATTTTATAATAGATGCATGTAGAAATGTAAGAGACTGTGAGGACCAATAAATGATGAAGATATCTGAAAACCTGTAGGCAATCTTATCGAAAGCATGAATTATCGATTGTTTGGTGAGGACTCCGATTTTACATCAGTTTTCTCAAAACTTTTTATATCACTCTACATTAATTTTCTAATCAAAAAGTCATGATCAGTGTTTCAATAACAACAGTTTTGATATTTCTTTTCTTCAAGTTATACTTTTCCCATACCTCTTTCTAACTTGCTGGAATTACTTTTAGCAATGGCAGGCAAAATAATGTTGATGATGTTGGTGGTAATTTTTTCAAAAAAATTTGTATTTTTTTTGTAAAATTCAAGAAGTATTAAATTTTCTCATTTTGCTAAAAGTTCAGGGACGGGTGCATCGTGTATATATGCTTTGTTGGGTGCAAAACAATTTGGTTGGAGATTTCTGGCAACTGATGCAGATCCTTTTGCGATTGAAGTAATGTCATAAAAGTCATAAAAGCAATTCGTAATGTCATGAAAGTAGTTTGAAAATTCAGTTATATCGATCCTGATGATGGTCTTTTATTCTTTTTAGATTGCAAGTCGAAATGTAGAGAAAAATGGCATGAACGAGAGAATTGAGGTTGTGCGAGTGCCATCAGACTGTATGATTAAGGTACCAATCTTGTTTAGCGTAATATTTTGCAGCAAAGTTGGACATGACTTGAAGCTTGGATTTTTCAGGATGTTGTTCGTTCTCATCCAGAAACCGAATTCACATTTTGCATGTGTAACCCTCCATTTTATGAATATGATGAATTTGAAGAGGTATATATTGTCCATTAAAATTTTAATGAATTTCTGAATAAAGTTTTTTCTTTTTTTTGCAGAAGTTCAGATACTTAGGAGATAATGTGCTGACAAATGTTGGTGGATCGAATTGTATAGATCGTCCTGCACCTCATTCAGCCACTGTTGCTCGGAGTAACGAACTGGCTGTTACGGTATAACTTTATACACAATTGAAAAACTTGGTTAGCAAAATCATGTTAGAATTGACATACTATCATTATTTATTTTCAGTATGACGCTTTCATTTTTTGGCAAAATTATAAACATCAAGCTGAAGGCTAAAATCATAATACAGAATCTATTTCGGCTGTTAACATCGTGATTTAAAATACTACTTTTGTAATAGATTGCATTTCAGGGCGGAGAAGTTGCATTTGTTTCTCGTCTAATTGAAGATAGCTTCGTTTTGCAAAACTCTGTGAAGTAAGTAGCTGTCACTGTATCTTTTCTTGTATTTGTTTTTAACTTTTTTAAACAATTCTGACTTTTTTATAGGCTGTATACATCAATGGTTGGTAAGAAATCAAGCCTTATTGAGCTCCGGAAAAAACTAAGACGTTGTTTGAGTGTACATTCAACAGTGACGACACTGTATCAAGGGAAAACGCACCGCTGGGTGCTTGCTTGGACTTTCGGAGCTCGAATAAAATTGGATAAAGTTAGATTTAGTTTAGATTTCTTTGTGTAGTATTGCATTTTCGGACTTGTAATATTTGACAAATTTTTAGTTGGCAAAATGCGCACCACCACTGGAGCTTTATTTGCCACCGGTTTTAGAAGGTAAAGAAAGTTCATTCGCTTGGATAAGAAAAGTATTGGGTTTGCTGGAGGTATGTTTCTCTAATTTTAAGCTTTTTCATTGTTTGATGACCAATGGCATATAAAATGCTAAGTCATATTTGGCATTTTGTTTTTTCGTTACGCTGTCCTCAACTGTGCTTAGTGATAAAATATGTGATAAAATACCATTATAGGCAAAGTAAAACTACGATAAATCAGATAAGTCACAATATCATTTCCTGTTGATTAGAATAATGAATATAAAATAATTTCATCCCAGTGTATGTTAAATATCTCTTTTGTAGGTGTCTTGTGAAAAACAAGATAGCAGTAGCTTTTTATGTGAAGCTGTCAGGAATACGTGGTCACAACAGCGACAAAAACGTCGTGCGGAAAGAATCTCGGCCATTTGCTCACCATTGAGTAAACGATACTGTCATGGTCGAACCGATGTTGGTTGCACAGTTAATTTGGGTAGTGGTGATGGCAAAGATAGTTATAGCAATGCTGGGAATTTTACGGAATGTACAGTATTTAGTGGAAGCAAGAAAAGTGAAGATACACGTGATGTGTCTGTGCAGGTTAGTTTTAAGTTTGTTACCCGGATTATTTGCTTTTCTAGTGTCTCTTATTGAATATAATAAGTAAGTCTTTAATTTTCAGACATATATACCATTGGATAGTGAATTGCAACCATTAATTCGTTTTCGATTAGTAATATATCCTTCTGAGCATTGCTTGAAATTATACTGGTTGGAGGGATCGCGTCACTCTTTGCATCAGATATGGCAGTTTTGCAGAAATCAGCTTACCAAATTGGAAAAATCAATCCAACCTTCATCATCTTAGATTTTCTGTGTTCGAATTCCAAGTTATTAGTTATGCTAATATGCAGTCATTGTTAAAAATAATGCTCAAAGTTATTTTATGGTAAGACCGTTGCATTATCTACACAACATATTTCAGAACATCTTAACTGCATACCTGTATTTTTATGCTTATAATCAAAAAAAAAGGAATAATTCACTATCCCTCATCAAGGGAGATAATTTTTTGCATTGCTCCAAATGTTATTCAATATTCCTTATTTAGATTTTGCATGTAGATGTTGCTAGTTTGAGGTGTTTGAGGTACTAATTTAAAGTGTGTTTGAGATGTTATGTCTACTTTGTACATATTTATAATATTTCTCAGCTTACTATTTGAGATTCGTAGGAGAACCGTTGAGCACCATTTATTTCCATTTTTATTTTTGCTCTTTGTAAGTAACACATGGGGCTTTAAAATCTTATTGTAAACAGCTAATAATTTTCTAGTTACTCGGTTCATTTAGAATTTCGATCCTTTCCGAACATTTTTATAGTGGGCAGAAAGATCGAAGCTGTCATTTATTGTTTGTGCTTTGTTATATATATAGTGTTTTCTATTAATGAGATGAAAATATTGTATTTTTTTACGGGTTTATTTTTACAAAAAAAAAATTTTGAGAATTTCCAAATTGTTGTTTATTTTGAAAAAAAATTCAAATTGTTGTTTATTTTATGAAGGTCGGTAAATGTCTTCCATTAATCTTTTTGTGATATTATTGTGATTCGTGGCTTTAAAGTTATCGATCACTATATCTACTCGAAATGCTTATAAGGGAAATTTTTCATCTTACAGAAGTTACACAGCTCCACTGTAATTCTAAAATTGTTCAAACTTTGCAGTTCCTCCTCTTCTTTCTGTTGCGCTATGTCATTTTTCCAACCAAAATTTCCAAATAGCGCAGTGAAAACTAAGATTGAAATTTGATTAACTTTAATATCATATATTGAATAATATTTCTGCTTCTGCTATATGTGCATGTCAGCACTAGTATTGACTTCCAAATTCATTGAAAAAGATCCACTTGAAGGACGAACGATACTGGAAGCTTAACTTAGCTAGTTAGTATTACTGGCAATTGTTACGCAATTTTTTGCAGCACTGTAGCAGCAATCATAGCTCTGAGTGAATCATCTGTTCGTTATGTTGGTCCTATCGCACTGTTGTAGAGTAAAACTGTTCATTGCAGCCATTCACAGTAGCTGACTATTGAGAGTGTGTTGTGCAGCATAGTGCGTTTCCAATTATAAACAGAAGATTGCCAGTCTAGCTTTACTATTGCTGCAGAGCTGCAGTGATGTTTGAAGTGGTTGGAGAATGAAGATTTGTAGTGATTAATGTTGTTTGGTTTAGATAGTAGTAAAATCCTTGATAGCAAGCGGAGAATAAATCACTCGCACTCTTCTTGACATGTTATATGTTAACTTTGATATGAGTCAAATGGAATCTTGCTAGTATGAAGATAGCTAATACATTCAATGCGACATTTTCATCTTACGATTTGATATAGCAGGTCGTCATTGTTCATTGATGTACTCGGGATGTTGAAATTAGTGATTTTCCTTGTGAAATTAATCTTTTGTGACATGTTACTAACTTCCAAGAACGTTTTTGTGTGTTTGAAATTCCTAAAAAATTCCCTACCTCGTTCGTTGTATTGTTTCTTGAGAAATGAATAAAGATTCTGTCTTAAAAAACCGTGAAATAGTAAAATAAATTAGGATAGAGGTTCGAAGAAAGCATAATTGGTTCATTAGTGCTTCCATTATTTCTATATAGAAGAGCTGGAGATGGATAGGAATCGGATGAGACAGTATTCAACAATTCGATTACATTTTGAATTATCCTACACACTTGAACATTTGTCGTAAAAATCTGCTGAGCAATGGAGGATCTCGGTGAGTTGCATTAATTATTCTCGTTTTTTCAAAGATTTGTGCATAATATTTTTTATCACTTTCTAATTTCGGAAAAATGATTTTCAATGAGGCAAAAGTTAATACGCGTTTTGTCTTTGTGCAGTTTACCTCGTAATTTAAAATGAAGAGTATTGTTGGAATCACACTCCGCACTTTACAACATAAATCGTTTTTCGTATAATTAATTTTGACAGTCAAATTTTATTAAGGGCAAATAGGGCGTCTAATTATTTCTCTTATTTTTCTTTTTTCTATGTTCTCTTATGTTGTCGAATAGATTTATCTTAATATTTATTACCAAAAATCAGCTAAACTTCTGCTATCAAGTAAATTTTTCTCATAGTTTCTAAACTAATTCCTTTTGAGACATTTCGTGTTTCTTCTGCTTGATGCTTTACAAAATGATAACGAAATATGTCATGTTACTAGAAATTTTGCAATTCTGTTTACTAGACTTCCATTCTATCTTTTAATTGAGAATAAAATCGTTTAATGCTCTCACTTCATAATGCGATGTCTGTATACCATCGATAGTTGTTCGTGTGCTATGTATCCATTCCATTCTTTTGCCATAGGGCATTATTTCTTGGAATACGACAATCTATCATCATCTCACCATATTACTGTTGACTAACACGTCTGACGTCTCTATCTTATGTTTTTGGGGAGATTGGTTTTGTGCTATATATTCATTGCATTGAATCGTTAATACTAACACGGGGAAATACACAATTTTTTTTTGAAATAGTGATCAATAAAGTTTTGTATTATCTTTCTCCGAGCTCATTTCTCACTTCTCTACAGCTGTAGTAATTCATTCTGTTATTACAACAGCATTCATTTTCTGCTTCTTCACGGAACTATATGCTCCCGTTCCACCTACTTTCATAATATAATTTCGTCGATGTCAACAGCAATGTAAACAATTTCTTCTGCTCTGAAGAAATATCCTAGATTATTACCAAAAAAAGTTCAGTTTCGCGTATTATTCACTGATGTCGATGTCGGCAAGCAGTAACGGTCGCCCCTCCGTCACTTGGGCCGATGTAACCGATTACACAAATGGTTCCTTTTTGTTGTTAGTTGTTTACTAACATAATTCCTTCCAAATAAAAGATCTGGTGATTTCTTCTGCTAGCTGCTAAGGGTTATGAAAGATTCTTTCTGTACTTCACACTTCTTGACGGGATTCTTTTTGTAAATTAATCAGTTCTATACATGTAAGGTCTCTTGGATTTATTTAAAACACGAAGAGAAAGACGAGCGTTCCTAAGACCTAGGAGATGAGTCAACTTTTTTATTTGTTTTTTAAGTACCTTGTCTGCTATTGCTGGCAGAAGAACAATTTTATATTACAATGAAATATACATTGCAAAATATTAAAATATTAACTTAGCATACAACTGTCCCAGTTGCATGTCTACTATTTTTTTTATTTAGTTAATGTCGTAGAATATTTGTCCAATTCTTCGAGCTTTTTAAAATTGTGTATCGATGAACTTTGCGTGTGTATATAATGCACGCAAAGTTTGCAGCAACTGTTGGCTTTCAAAAGTTTCATCATGCAGTGTATGCTGCCGATGTGATGAGGAACAGCAGCAATAACAACACCTGGCTTAAATAATAAAAATGAATCAATTAGAATCCGTTAGAGTGAAGAGCAGTTTTGCTATGAAAATTCCATGTAGCGGTGGTTTTTATCAAGGTCTATTGCTTCTTTTTTTCTATCTGATAATTTCTTTTAAACACTATTATCAATCCCTAAAAACCTTAGCGAATTCATTTGGACTATTAATTCTTCCTCTACTACATACTTCTTGTAGGATTCTTTCTGTAGATTAGTCAATTCTTATTACCTGTAAACCTTCTTTTAATTGAGGTTCCATTCGTAGTATTATTGCTAATTAGTTATTATCATCGTTGTGGAATTTTTTTTTGTGGGACGTGAAATGCGAATGCGCTAATTTTGCAGCTAATCTTTACATTTGTATTAACTCTTAATGGGTTTCAATGTTTTGGAACTCTCAATCTTCAGTTACCACTCGTAGAATTTTGCTTACCTCTATGTTTCCTCGGATTTTTACATTTCTGAGAGTGGCATAAGTTGCTCATTTTTGGAATATACTACCTATTCATTCAAAATTCTTGATATTTGCAGCATATTAAATTTCCATTAAGTATTATGCACATGGGATCCATTTCATCAACGATATTATAATCCATATTTAGTTGCTTTTTGGCACATTAGTTATGCTTTTGTAAAGTTGCACAAAAGCAGCAATCGGAAAAAATAGGCATAAATCCGCGATTTTTTTTGACTTACAGAAATGTAAGTTAAAGTAGGGGAAAGAAGAAGAGATATAGATGCAAAATCGCACAATTAAAGGACAAATGGTGATTAGACAAAAGACATAGACACAGACCGATGGAACACTTTCTAACTTAAACGATATTGGTGATTTTGATTCAGATTCATGTCTTATCGTGTTTAATTAATTTCATCGTTATTGAATAAGTATTTTTCGAGCGAGCACCGTGCAATGTCAGTATTAACAGAGAATAACTTTGTGGACACACTGAAATCTACGTTGGGTTCGTATCTCTTAAAGCTCTTCTCCTACGTTGCCATTTACAAGTTATCCTGCTCTGAAACATTTGCCTGATTTTCTCTCTTTTTTTATTTTATCTTAACAAGTTTGAAAAAATTTTTTAAAAATAGATCGTTGAATTTGAAAAGCTACTTTTGGTATTCACCGAACTATATCATGTTATGAACTGTTTTTTTCTTAATTTCTTCCCTATTTTTAACAAAATTATTTATTAATATTTCCCGGAGCATTTTTTGCTAAATATAATTTTTTAAATCTATTTCAGAAGCTTTGCTTTCTGATCTACAGCATACAACGGAAGTTTTGAAGCGAGCTAAATTTAACGATCGTTGCTTATCTAATGCATCCGATTTAGAGCCCGTTTATCAAGAACAAACTAGAAGGTATATTGTACAGTGTGGTTTAGTTTGCATATTTTATCAGTATTTTAGTTCTTCAGTTCTATACACTTATT